TTTGAAGTGATGAAAATCAATGAGCTACAGCTAAGAACTACATTACCCAGCAAAACTATCATTTAAAATTAAAGGATAAATAGTTTCCCAGACAAGAAAAAGTTAAAGGAGTTTGTTACCACCAAATCAAAATTTTAAGAAATGTTAAAGATCCTTCTTTAAAAAGAAGAAAAAGAAGCAGAGTAATATAGTTAGAAGAATAAAATGGCAATAAATATGTACCTATCAATAATTATGTTAAATGTAAATGGCTTAAATGCTCCAATCAAAAGACATATGATAGCTGAATGAATAAGAAAACAAGATCCATATATATGCTGTCTACAGGAGAACTGCCTCAGAATGAAAGATACACACAGGATAAAAAGTAAAAGGATTTCATGCAAATGGAAATGAAAAAAAAGTGGGGTGGCAATACTTATACATGGCAAAATAGACTTTAAAACAAAGTCTATAGTAAGAGACGAAGATGGACACTCTATAATGATAAAAGGAGCAATCCAACAAGAGGATATAACCCTTATAAACATTAACACAGCCAATATAGAAGACTTAAATATATAAAGCAAATCTTGACCAACATAAAGGAAGAGATTGACAGTAGTACAGTCATAGTAGAGGATTTTAGCACCCCATTGACATCAATGGATAGAGCTTCCAAATAGAAAATCAACAACAAAAAACCCGTGGCCTTAAGTGACACACTAGATCAGATGGATCTATATGATATATTCACAGCATTCCATCCCAAAGCAGAAAAATATATATTCTTCTCAAGAGTACATGATTTTCTAGAACAGATTACATGTTAGGACTCAAAACAAATCTCATAACTTTAAGAAGATTGAAATCACATCAAACATCTTCTCTGACCACAATGGTATGAAACTAGAAATCAATCACAAGAAAAAAACTGAAAAACACCCAGACATGGAAGCCAAAAAACATGTCACTAAACAATGAATGGGTTAGCAATGAGATCAAGGAAAAAATCAAACTATACCTTGAAACAAATGAAAATGAGAATATAACAACCCCAAATCAATGGGACACAGCAAAAGCAATTCTAAGAGGGAAAATCAGAGAATTACAGGTCCACCTCAAGAAACAAGAAAATTCTAAAGATAAACAATCTAAACTTTACACTTAAAGGAACTTGAAAAAGAAAAACAAAGCCCAAAGTGAGTAGAAAAAAGGAAATAATAAAGATAAAATCAGAAATAAACAAAATAGAGTCTAAAAACAATACAAAAGATCAATGAAACTGAGAGCTGGTTCTCTGAAAAGATAAAGAAGATTGACAAAACTTTATCCAGGTTCATCAAGAAAAACAGAGTAAGAGCCCAGATAAATAAAATCAGATATATAAGAGGAGAGTAACAACTGACACCAAAAACAAACAAACAAACAAACAAATGCTTGTAAGAATATTATGAACTATATGCAAACAAATTGGGCACCCTGGAAGAAATGAATAAATTCCTAGAAACATACAATCTTCCAAAACTAAATCAGGGAGAATCAGGGAATCTGAATAGGCAGATTACAACTAATGAAATTAAAACAGTAATCAAAAAACTTCCAACAAACAAAAGTACTGGAATGGTGGATTTTATCCAATATTCAAAAAGGAATTAACACTCATTCTTCTCAAACTATTCCAACAAATTCAAGAGTCAAGAGGAGGGAAAATTCCCAAGCTCATTTAATGAGGCCAGCATTATCCTAATTCCAAAACTAGACACACTTCAAAGAAAGAAAATGTTAGGCCAATATCCCTGATGAATATAGATATTAAAATCATCAACAAAATATTAGCAAACCAAATCCAGCAATACACTAAAAACATCATCCACCTGATCAAGTGGTCTTTATTCTGGGGATGCAAGGTTGCCACAGTATCCACAAATTAATAAATGTGATAAACCACATAAAAAAAGAGATAAAAACCACATGATCATATTAATAGATGCAGAAAAAGCATTTGATAAAATCCAGCACCCATTTGATAAAAACCTTTCAGAAGAAGGGGAAGAGAGGGAACATTTTTCAATGTAATATAGGCCATGTATGACAAATCCACTGCCAGCATCATGCATACTCAATGGGCCAAAACTACAAGTATTCCCTTTAGGATGAAGAACAAGACAGAGATATCCCCTTTTACTACTATCATTCAATATAGTACTGGAGGTCCTAGCCATAGTAATCAGACAAGAAGAAGAAATACAAGGCATCCAAACTGAAAGGAAGAGGTAAAACTGTCATTATATATAAATGGCATGATATTGTATATAGAAAACCCTAAAGATTCCAAGAAAAAATCTACTAGAACTGATAAATGAATTCAATAAAGTAGCAGGATAAAAAGTAAATATCCAAGAATTGGTTGCATTTTATACACCAATAATGAACTAGCAGAAAGGGAAGCTAAGAAAACAATCTCATTTACAATTGCACCCCCAAAATACATAGGAATAAATTTAACCAAGGATGTAAAAAACCTATACATGGAAAATTATGACACTGAAGAAGGAACTGAAGAAGATACAAATAAGTGAAGCATATACCGTGTCCAGCAGCGTGGGGCTGCCAGGAGTCGGGAAGATGTGGCTAGTGGGTTTCCTGTGAGGCACAGGGGCTGGTCAGGCTTGGGGAAGGTGAGCGGAGTGGTCTCCACCCCAGAGCCACACAACTTAGTCTGTCTTGGATTCCACCCAGACCTCAGTAGAGCAGAGCCACCAGGAGTCAGGAGGGGGGTTGCCAGGAGAGTGAAGGGAGTGGATCTCCTGTGAGGGGGAGGCACCAGTCAGGTATGTGGGAAAGTGGGGGAAATAGTCCCAGCCCCAAAGCCACTCAACTCAGTCACTGACACCCCCTGAGTCTGCCCAGATCTCTACATCCCAGCCCAGGCAGCTGACTCTTCAGTGGGGTGCAAGTTCTAAGGGACAGGCTCTAGGGAGTCCAGAGGGTGGATCTATTGCTTTCCTCCAGTCTGATATCTACGGAGGGGAATGTTCTACCCAATAAAGAATGTGTCTGCAGTGTGGGAGAGTGATTCAACTACAGGTATCCTGGCTGTTGTTGCTTCAGCTTTCTTCCCAGAGCCACAAACCCCAGCCTCTACTCACACAACTCTAGTCCCCTTTGCCCTCCCTCCACCAAGAGTCCAGGGCGTGTGGCTGCATATGAGATTTTGTGCATTGGCACTTTAAGAAGGTGCTTGTGTCTTAGGAGACTGTTCTCTCTCCCTGGCAGACAGGATCCCTGCTGATTATCATAGCCAGGAAATCACATGGGCACCTCTTCCTGGCTCTGGTGCCCTGGGCTAGGGAGGCTGACTTGGGGTTGAGACCCCATGCTTCTCAGGGGGATCCTTTGCAGCTGAGGTATCTCTGGAATTTCAGCTGCTATCTACAGGAGCAAGGCTAGCCATTTGCGTGTCTCCATCCTTCCTATCAGTCTCAGTGTGGCTTCTTCCATAAATTCTTGGTTATAAGACTTCTCTACAGCCAGTCTTCAGGTGGTTATCCAGGTGGACTGCTCTATAATTCAGTTCTAATTCCAGATTGGTCCTGGAAGGAGGCAAGTGTAACATCCACCTGCTCTGCTGCCATCTTGGATCTCTGGCCATAAATCCTCGGTGTTACTTAGCTTGCAGCTGCATCACTCCAATCTCTGCCTCTGTTGTCACATGGAGTTCTCCCTGTGTGTCTCTGTTTCCAAATTTTCTTCTCTTTGGAAGAACATCAATCATATTGTAGTAAAGACCCACACTATCCCCCTATGTCCTCATCTTAACTAATCACATCTGCAACAACACTATTTCCAAATAAGGTCACATTGCATGGTACTAGGGAGTATGACTTCAACTCATCTTTTCGGAGGGCAAATTCAACACATAACAAAAGCATGAACCATAAGGGAAAGGACTGGTATATTTTATTATATTAAATAAAAATGAGCAATTCTTTTCTTCTGTAAGATATGTCAGATAAAAGAGACAAAAGAGATTAGAAGTTCTTTTCCCTATTTTTAGTAATCTTGGTACTATATAACAACTGTGAGTGCTAGGTAAACAAAAACTATACACTTTAACATAGAACTATCTTTATTAAAAAAGTAACATTTTAAAAATGTGGTACAAAAATATAGAGTAAAAATTAATCAGTTATTAAGTCCCTAAGTTATTTGTCAAAACATTTTATTCTTTTTCTTTGGGTTTTGAACTTTAGTTTAAAAGGTCTTCTCTACTTTGACATTACTTTTGGAATTCTGCAGTTCCTTCCATATCAGTAGGTATTCATTCATTCATTCATTCATTCACTCACTCACTCACTCATTCATTCAGCAAATCATTTATTTACACACAGGTACAGAGGATATACATGTAAACAGGACTAAATATTCTCTCTTATATTAAAGTGAGACAGGCTATAAAAAACAGAGTAACAAATAAGTCCATTTGTTTGTATATAAGAACTTGATTAGTGTTACGTAAAAAATAGAGTGAGGAGGGTCACAAGTGCCAGTTGTCTGTAGCATATTGTAAATTTAAATATAAAAGAGGCTTTTTGAAAAAGACCTATTTGATCAGGGCATATTTCAAGGCAAATCTGAGCATATACTTCAAGAGTACATATTATGCTATGTTTAGGAATAGCAATTAGAAGAGATTAGACAAATACTCCAACTAAATTTTTCTCCAACTGCTTAGATTAAATGATGAAATGAAATGTTTTGTGTCATGATTTTGGAAGATAAAAGCAATTGCTGTTTTTCTGGAAGGGGCAAATAAGTGATACAACCTTAGTCATATGTATATATTAGATACTGACATTGGACAGTGGATGAGGCAGGGTGGATCTTTTTTCTTTGTCATTTCTGCTTTCCCATTTCTCCTCCTCACGTGAAACCAAGTTCCCTGATTTTTGATTAGCTGATTACTCATCACACAGTCCTTTATCAAAAATATCTTCAGTGCTTTTGACCAGTTTGAATTTTAGTAGCACAAGCCATTCACAAACAATATTTCATTAAAAAATGATAGTATTTTTAGTGGAATTTTCCTTATTTCCGCCAAATTCAGGTGTATGAGACAACTCCTGTAAGTCTTGTGCAATGCAAACTCCCTTTGCACATTGCGTATGCTGACAGAGGGTTGCTTCCCAAGACCATGACCTTGAAGCAGTGCCCCCATCTCTTCTAACTTTGCAAATGTTGTCCCTTACTGCATCTTGGAAGCTATCAATATGATATACTGTTTAAGATCATTACTTTTTCTTTTTTTAATTTTAGACAGGGAGTACTTTTCTCAAACCCATCAGAAATGAACAGGCTGGGTCTGTAACAAACTGTCATGTTATAAAACAGGCCAGTAATTGCATATGAGTATACAGTGCTACATTCAAATGAACCGGTCAGACCACAGGTCTTCAATGTTTAAAACAGAAAAAGCATCCCTGTAAAAGCAGCATTGTTGTGACATTTTAACTTTAGCATTCTTCTCCTTCCTTACCCTCTCCTCCAACAGAATCCACACCAACCTCCTCATATTGTCCTCAAGGGTAGCCATGTCCTCACAGGCCTCAGAAAACTGTTCTTCCTCCATGCCTTCCCCCACATACTGGTGGGTAAAGGCACGTTTGGCATACATCAGGCCAGACTCTAGTCCAGGTGAGCCCAGGCCTCAGCAATAGCTGAAGTGTTGCTCAGCATGCACACAGTTCACTGTACTTTGGCCAGGTCTCCACCAGGCACCACAGTGGGAAGCTGGTGATTAACACCAACTGTGAAGCCAGTGGGACACCAGTCCACAAACTGGATGCTGCACTTAATCTTGATGGTGGCCATGGCAGCATTGGTATCCTATCACCGTGGGAACCATATCACTCAAGTACATTCTGCCATCTGGTTGGCTGGCTCAAAGTACACACTAGTGATCTCTGCTGCAGAAAGCTGCTCATGGTAGGCTTTCTAAGCAGAGATGACAGGGGCAAATGTAGCCAGAGGGAAGTGAATATGGGGACAGGGCTCCAGGTTGGTCAGATGAGCAACCAGTGCTCCATCAAATCCACAGGAAGCAGTGACAGAGAGCACAATTTAACCTATCAACCTGTTCAGGTTGATACAGGTAGGGCACTCAGTCTCGAGGTTTCTATGACAGGTGTCGTAGACAGCCTCCTTGTTCAACCACGGATGCACAGAGTGCTTCCGGGTGGTGTGAGTGGGGAGTGTGGAATTGCAGGGCTGCACCTCGGCTGTGGAAGCTCAAGGGGATGGCTAATAGAGAACTCCAGTTTGGACTTCTTGCCATGAATGACAGAGAGATTTTCTATCAGCAGGGAGGCGAACCCAGAACCAGTTCCCTCAACAAAGCAGTGGAAAGCCAAGAAGCCTTGAGGGCTGTGCGCTGGTTAGCCAGTTTCTGAATTTGGAACAAGATGAGGTTGGTGATCTCCTTGCCCATGGTATAGTGCTTGCGGGCAGTTATTGGGTGCATCTTCCTTGCCTATGATGAGCTGCTTCAGGTGGAATAGCTGGTGGTAGGTACCAGTGGGAACTTCATCAGTAGCTGTGGGTTCTAGGTTGACCAACACCGCTCTGGACTCACGCTTGCTAGTGCCATCTCACTGAAGGTGTTGGAAGAGTCATCTCCCTCCCATTCCCTGGTGGTCACTTGGCACCTGGTCATCAGGCTGGATACCATGTTTTAGGCAGTAGAGCTCCCAGCAAACATTGCTGATCTGGACCCCTGCCTGGCCAACAGTCATGCATGGTTGCAGCTTTGCAGCGGTCATGCAGAGTGGATGATGGACAGGAAGGGGAAAAGCTGTTGCTTTTTACAGCACAATTCTTAGGTGGTGGATATAAGAGAATCCAAGCTCACTACTCTTTCTTCTAGAATCTTCTCAAGAGTAGATGATAAATACAGGTATTAATTGCTAGACATGTTTGAAAAGTGAGGATCTTCTAGATTTCTGTTAGCAAACTGATAGATAGAACAGTGAAAGGTCTTTTAGCAATTTCACTTCTTTAAAAAAATAAGCTCATCACTTCTCATAGATATTAAAAACATACATGTTAAAGAGTCTTTTCATTCTGGCTGCCTTGCTCAAGCTGCCTTACTTTGTCAGATATGGTGGATTTTCATCCTGAAGTGAAAGGTAACATTGAGGACCCTGTTTTTTTTCTTTGCAGATCATCTAGCCAATTAAAAAGGCCCCAAAAAAACTGGCTTCTTGGTCCATGTCCATCAATTCTTCATTAGTTACAGATACAAAAATTCTGTCATTTTCTTTAAGTTCAAATATTCCACCCTGATAGATGGAATAGAGTCCATATTCTGAATCTTTAGACCAACAACTATTTCTAGCACTTTTCATCAGCAGTACAGGGTCAGGGTAGGCTGTGGATTTGTAAATATATTGTACCATTTGTTTGTTTTTCTTTCTGTTCCCTGGTGTGGAAACATCCTCAGGTTCCTGAAATCGAAAGTATGTTTGGGAATAAATATAGTAAAACCCCGTTTGATGAATAATTAGCTCTCCATTCCTCAGGTGCAAATTATTCAAGAATGAATGTCCTTTTCTTGATGACTCCCAGGAGGTTATTTTATGGCCCAAAACATTTTCATTCTTGGAGTCTGGATGAAGGTTAGAGAGAAAAAACGTTAACAAAAGGGAGTTTGTAGCAAAGCAAGTCACGCGTAATAGCTGTTGCCAGCCTATGTTTTGGTTGGTATTGAAAAGGATTTCAATTAAGGATAAAACTTTCTGCTTCTCTTATCTTACAAAGGTTTCAAATTCTGGTCATATAGAAACTTGAAGGCTTCTGTATTATCATGGCCTGTTGGGAGAGTATTTTATTTTTCTGTACCCTGTTGCCACTTATGCCACATCTCCCGCGCTTACTAGTGCAGGGTATGGTTCACTCAGAAGGAAATCTGAGTTACTCCTGGGCTGAACTTTTGTCCTGAACCCCTACCTCGCTTCCTGCACTATAAGCTCAAATGAAGAGCATATAAAGAAACCAGAAGAAACATATCTACTTCATTAATCCTAGAGCTCAGGACTCCTTGCTACTCCTTTGGATCTCTTTGGATGCCCTCCTTGGTCTTTCAGCAGTCGAAGGCATCAGCCAAGCAGGAGGCATCACCAGTCCACAATAAGACAGAGCACAAGGTTTGGCAAAGATCTCTCTGATTTAAAGATCTTAAGATCCTTAGATATTTAAGTCCTAGAGACTGAATAAAAAATGGCCCTACAAAATATTATATTCCTTTAAACTTTGGGCTCATCTCCATGATTGAAACAAAATTAAGTTTTTCAAGAGTTTAAAATAATTATCATATTTGTTGATAAGTAGTGAACAGAAACATCACAATAATGATCTCACTCATAAGCAGAAGTTGTTAATTATTTATAAAACACAAGTTCAGGAATATCAGGAAGGCAAATGCCCCGAAAAATTCAAAACAACATTCCCCCCAAAATACCCCATTAACTGACACCTGAAATGTCTTTAATTTGGGACAAAACATTTCACAATAATAAAAGTAAGCAATTTGTCTCATAATCTTGTTTCTGAAAAGAGTCAGTCTGAGACCTGATTACTGCTGAGCATTTTGTAGATAGCTATCTACACATTTCAGGTACAAGCGAAAAGAATAAATTACTTGGAACAAACTCGTCCATTGCCTTTTTTAAAACCATGTATTTTTTGTTTCTCTTACTTGGAACTGGGGTTGTGTTTCTTCTGTGTTTGGCCCCTGTAATGTGAGCTGCTACTCTTTGCAGTTCTCTTCTTGCTAGCTGAGGAATATTACGTTGGATTTCTAAAAGAGAAACGACAAAGACTCATCAGCACTTGTGCAGCCACCTCTCAAATAGTACATTGTTGTTTACAGCTGTTGTCAATCAGATACTACAAACACACGGGGCTTTCAAAGTAGATTACATGATTTCATAAAAAAAACAGCCTACATTTTATTGTGATGATGAGTCTACTTCAATTTATGTTAATTTGAAAAGTATTTTTGATGAGAAGAATAAGCAGTAATTTGGGTTATAATTTATCAGCATCTCAGAAGCAATTACGTTGAATACAATGAAGTGAAGATTAAGGCCCCTTTCCAAAAAAAATACCCAAACAAACAAAAATCTGTGGACTTGCAATAATCTTGCTGAGTCATTAAAGTGTTCAAATAGCCCTGGCTGGTGTGGCTCAGTTGGTTGGAGCGTCGTTTCACAAAGTAAATGGTCACCAGTTCGATTCCTGGTCAGGGCACACGCCTGGGTTTCGTGTTCTGTCTCCGGGTCGGGGCGCACAAGAGAGGCAACGATCGATGTTTCTTTCTCACATTGATGTTTATCTCCCTCTCTTTCTCACTCCCTTCCCCTCTCTCTAAAAATAAATAAATAAAGTGCACAAATAACCAGGTATTGGTAAATTTCTATATCGAGTTATATATAGAAACAGAACGATACCAGTTTCATAATCTCTATTTTTTTCCTCTTAGCCAGCTACTAGTGATTCTTAAGGAGTAGCAATGATAACATCTGTCCATATGTGCTACAAACTGGTATCCAACGGTCATTCCCTCTGCTTCCAAAAGGAATGTGACTTGTCATATTGTTCACGGTAATCAGTACATGAGCATATAAATTGCCGATTCACTATATCATAACAAATAACTTACTGACCACCATTGAAGTACTCTGGAGCAGCCTTAAAAAAATACAGATTCTGTCCTAGGTGGTGTGGCTCAGTGGACTGAGCATAGGACTGAGAACCAAAGGGTCTCTGATTCGATTCCCAGTGTAGGGCACATGCCTTAGTTGTAGGCCAGGTCCCCAGCAGGGGGCGCACGAAATGCAACCACTCATTGATGTTTCTCTCCCTCTCTCCCCCCTTCTCCTCTCTAAAAATAAATAAATTTTTTTGAAAAATACAGACTCAACAAACTACTCTTTAAAAAAATCCACTCAAACTCCCCAAGTGTGTTTACATTGGTTTTTAAAATAAATTACATTCTTTTATTAAGCAAATATTGTCAGGGACAAGGCACTGCACTCCATCCTCCAAGGGCAGCACAGGTCAATCCCTTATTACACTGACTAAGCCCTCAAGGGACTTAAACAGCCTTTTAGAGAAGATACGGATTAGAAAGTGAAATCTTACCTATTAGAAATAAGAATAAAGGGAGATGGCTCTTGAGAAGAGGGAAAGATTCCTATTTGTTGGAAAGCCAAGGTCAAGGGAGGATTTGTGCTAAAACCTTTTTATTCCCTTAGTCCAACAAACCAAAGTGCTCATCACATCTAAGACAGGCACTCTTCCAAGGACAGGACAAAAGAATTATAAATGAACAAGTGCAAGAAAGTGTTTGAGGTACGAGGATAATTATCTTAGCAGGGTGAGGATGAGCAGGCTTTGGGCAACGAGGATAGGAAAAGGCCCAAAGCAAGATGCACAGAGCATTCCTCGGACACAGGCAGGAGAGGGGCTCAGTTTCAGGTTTGAATGATGAACCAAAGTATAAAGGATTTGAACGCTAGGCTAAGAGATTTGGGTTTAAGAGGGTGTGGGAAGACTCTGAAAGGTTTTGATCAGGGAAGCAAAAAGATGTATTTTGTGCTTTGGATTTATCTAGTTCTCAGGATAAGGTTTGACGGGTAGAAAGTGAGAGGGCTGGAGACTGGAGAGGTACCAGACTATGAGAACAGAACTGGGAACAGAAGGCCTTAACCTAGGTTAGCAGTAGAAGGAACTAAGAGGGGGTGACAAAATTCCATAGGGGAAAAATGAATGGGAAATGAGAATCTCTTCTCATTTCTTCTAATTTTCTATTAACTGTTACTTATTCAGGATGGGTGGACATATATGCGGTACTGAAGACAAAACATGGCATGAGGATGCATAGTCTATTACATATCATTCTCGAGGTGCTCAGCTTTCAAGGTCGATGTGTCCTTTATATGCATACTCTCTATTGTTAAATAATTCATAATGCCCTGCCTGCCCCTAGACTTTAACACTCTGTTTTTAAGTATTCAATAACAAAATCCAATTATAAATATCTTGCATTAGAACTTATTGCAAAGATATGGGAAAGCCAAGATTTGAAAGAAGATTCTAAAGAGAGGAAATGTCCAACTGTCCATAGTGAACATCTCCTAGAAAAGAAACTTGCAAATTTGTATATTTTGGCATCAGGGATACATTTTGGTATGCTGAGAAGCACACAATTTCTACACCTTATTGGGATAGATAAAAAAGATTACTTTTCTTCCAACACTGAAAATAATACATGCATCTACTATAGACCACGTCTGGGGTACCTCATCAGAAGAGGTGGAGTGTTTAATACTCTCACCACTTTTGTCTTCAGGGAAATGATCAGACAAGATGCTTAGACCCTACAGCCAAGTCTTGTCCTCTCTGCCCTGTTGGTGAGCCCCAGGGCTCTAAGTCTCCAGTACATGCACTCAAGCCTGTAGGGGAAAGTGTGGCTATAGTGAGCCAAATGCAAGGAGGTAGTAAATTTAATTCTGTGATTTTTTAATGTATTCATTAAAAATATGTATTAAGAACCTTCTATGTAGAGGGAGAGAGATGGTAATGGCACAACATTGTAAATGCACTACATGTCACTGAACTGTGCTCTTTAAGTGGTTAGTTGTATATTATGTGAATTGCATCTCAATCAAAATACATACCTGCAGAAGGCGGTACAGGTAAGGGTGGGAGATCTATGAGGTCTGAGGCACAGGGTTAGGTGCCAGGTATAGAGAGGTGAGAGAAACTGACACATTTTTGGTCTTTGTGGCTCTCTAATCTACTAAGGAATTAGACAACACACAGATTTTTTAAAAAGACATAAAAATGAAAGAAAATGAACAAGGTAAATGTAATAGAAATAATGAGGTGTAGAGGAACTTAGAAAAATGGCCAGGGAAGGTCTGACAATTAGTGATGAGGAAGAAGGATGAGAAGGAGCCAGTTTTGTAAAAAGCCAGAAATGAAAGAAGCCGGGCGGAGGCCCAGAGAAGCCAACCTGGGCACCTGCACTGCAGGGGGTGTGGGCCACGAACAGGAAGACCGCCGTGGTATGGGGAGCGCAGGATGAGAACCGTGGGTGGGCAGGTGGGTTGCTGGGAAAGGAATGAGGGAACAAGGGGTTTCTGCGTAAAGACAGACATAGACCAGCGGTGGTTGGAGGCTGAGAAGATGGATGATGTGGGGGCCCTCATTTATCTTACATCCAGCCATGTTCTGGAAAGCATTCAGAAGGCTTATTTACAACACATTAGAAGGTAAAAAAGAATGACTGAAGGAGTTGAGGTGAAAGGAAAATCCATGTTGGAAAAATAGGATTCAGCTGAAATAAAGTTCTGGCCATAAGTGGGCCACAGATGTGGTTCTGAGCTTTCTAGCTACCAATGCGAAAAAAAGGAAGTAGAATCAAGTAGCTTGAGACACCGAGCAGCAGGTCAGAATGGAAGAGGACGGAGTCATTCGCCCGGCCATGAAGTTGATAGTAGAAAGTTAAAATAACAACAATAAAAAAAAGTACTACCTGGAACTGTAGAAATGGTTTCCTCATAGGTTCTCAAAATCATCTGCAAATAGTATTGAATAAAGGTTGTTAATTTCCCTAAAAACTTTAAACTGACTACAGGGTGTCTACGGCCCTTTTTATTGATGTCTAACAGGTTTCTGTGGAAGGCAGGAACCTAGGAAGCTTTATATTTTTCAAGCATAGGCTGTGTGTGGGGTAGGGTGTGTGCTGGGGTGAACTCTAAGGCAGCTACCCTCACACGCTGATCAGGAATGGTCCTCTGTCTGGGAAAATTCTGTTTCTGGAAGGTGTCTTTGAAAGGCCACACCTGGAGCAGCATAGGAGTAAGGAGCCATCTGCTAAGTTAGGTCTGCCTAACCTTCCCCGGACTTCCTTGTGGCTGATGGATGTGGCAGGCATGTCAGCTCACTTTCTCTGTGTGGGATGTACATGTGTGCATGTGTGCATGCATGTGTACGCATAAGTGGTCTGTGTAATAGAGTCCAGGGCTTTAAATTATTGGGCAGACCCAAGCCTCACTGTGTAAGGCATACTTCCTGTCTCTCTCGATGCTCAGAGACATACATAGCTCAGGGTGAGGCGTGGCCTGGCCTTACATGTCATTCTCTCATTTCTGAGAATGTGGCTGAGGAATTCTTAAAGATATTTTTACCAAGTTCCCGAACCTTTACTAAAAATCTAGTATTACCCTCTTTGTACTAACAAGTGGAAAAACCCAGTAAGAAAGAGTAAAAACTGAGACTTTCTATTAACTAAGCAGATCCTCTCTTGGCTCATTCTCAGCTTCTAAATTCCCCTTCATTCCATTCTGTCACCCCTGGGGACGTTGCTCATCACTGCCCTCCTTTCTTATCACTGTTGCTAATTTGGCAGCTACCCAAAACTCCCCTCCACTGTCCTCCCATCTCAAATCAGAAGCTCTCTGCTTCTCCAGCTGCGTCAGGCCTTGATTCCAGATAATGAGGGGACTACCTGTAGTCCAATGGGTGCTGGTGTATGAGAAGGGAAAGCAAGAGGTGGCCTGAGCACATTCTCTCTCTCTCTCTCTCTCTCTCTCTCTCTCTCTCTCTCTCTCATTCTGGGTCAGGAAGGAAGGAAGAAGGAGGAGCAGCAGAAAGGAGAGAAGGCTAATTCCCACAGTGTGGGAGGCACAATATAATAATAATTACGGTGTGGCCAGATGGCCCAGATTCAAATCTGTCCATTACTAGCTTGGGAAACTTTTTTCAAGTCACTTAACTGATGTAAACATTAACTTCATCTGTTTTTAAAAAGAAGAAGAAGAACATGGTTTCTTCCTCACAGAGCTTTGTGAAAATTAAAGGCGGTAATATATGTAACAGTTATAGGATGTTTACTGGAAAAGTCTGTTTAACTAATGGTGCCTGGTAAAAAAGGGGAAATCCTTTGTCCCTCTGCTCTCACCCACCCCTCTGTGTTCTCTCCTGGCGCCTCTGTTCTAGCCAGTGGCAGGATGTGAGAATGGGAGGGGGAGGGGGAATAGCAGGAGAGAGATACATAAATCCATCCCCACCACTTCTCTTATCTCCCCACTCCCAGCTCCCGCATCCAGTTCCCCCTTTCCCCCTCAGTCCCCAAAGCTGTGGGTTTGTTTGCCACCCCCTTAACCCCAGGGTCTGTGGAGTCCCAGTCCTAGGTTCCTCGGGGGCCCTTCCCCAACCCTGGGCCCTTCCTGGTCCTTGTCACTTGGGGCAGTGAAGTCAGAGCTGCTTCGGTACAGCATGTGTGCGGTGGGTGTCCTGCCCAGGCCACGCTTCCAGGGCGGCCGCACAGCACAGGTATTTCCAGGACTCCCAGGTGGAAGTCTAATTTCATTTCTCATAGAAATAGCATCATGGCTGATGTCTGGGCTCAATGGTGAGGGTTGTTTAGGTTTATAAATTAGATCCCAAACTGCCAACAAAACACCGACTCTATGAAAAGCCAGGATGAACATCAAACAACAGACTAGCAATCATGCATTAAAACATATCTTCTTCCTACTCCGGGAATGTCCCAGTATTTTTTTTAAAACAATCATGAAGCTTTCTACTTTTCTAGGTATTTTTATATCTGTGTTCTCATCTGATTTTCTGAGAAGGCAGAAGGTAAGTATTGCTAAATACCATCTTATAAAGAAGGAAGAGCCCTAGAGAAGAAACTTAATTTGACACGTCACATTGCTGAAAGTAAAATTATGTAGTCATATTTAATGAAATAAACTGTTAGCTAACATAATGCTTCTGCTAGAGATCCCATTTAAGCAACTTCCATAAGTAGCTAATACTCTAATTTGTCATTAGTAACTATGAACTGAGATGTCATCACCTTCAGTTTCTCAAAGTAGCTCTTTCTTCCCTCTTTCTTCATCTCTATATGCATAAAAGTAAATATATATTTTCAGATATCAACATCTGGGAAATATATAGAACACCATTGTTTGGCCTCTTTTGTCTTCTGAATAGAAAAAAAATCACACACATCCTTCATTGTTGTGTGACCTTGAGTATATTGCTCTGTCTGTGCCTCAGTTTCCACAATGTAAGATAAAAAGGTTAGACCAGATGGGGAGGCTGGTAAGAGTGGAGGCATGAGCTCTAGACCAGGAGTTGACTACGACCCACTGTTTGGTTCTGTTCCACCTTTTTTCTAGTTCTCTGAATTTGGGGAAAAATCACTTAAACACTCTGGGCCTCAGTTTCTCCTTTTGCAAAATGAGGAGTCTAGACATGATGGTTTTAAATATTCCTTCTCCTCTGACATTCTGTGCCCGCTGGTGAAGTTACCTGATAGTTCACTTACCTTTCTAACTAACTGACGTAGTTGCCACTTTACTTGCCAGCAGGGGTTGTTCATACTCTCGTCATCATAGGGGTCCCAGGTGCTATCATCTTCCTTTAAGAAGCAAGCAATACCACTTTTGGAAAGCTTCTCCTGCACCTAGGACGAGATGGAATATAACACAATATTATGCGCAAGTGCTTTTTATATTTGTCCATTTAGAAGTTAAACTCCAGAAACTGCCTCGGTGCCCTAGACAAGCTGATGGCTTAAAATTAAAGTAGACATGCTGTGCTTTGTCCTTTGAATAAAAGTAAGGAGTTGGATATGGTGGAAACATTATGAGTGTGGGCCAGGCATCGGGGTCACAAGGCCCTTGACTGCCCCTGCCACTAATCAGCTGCATGTCCCTCCACAAAGAGCTGCTTGTCTTCTGTGCCCATTCTTCATCTGAGTTTTTGAGCTAGTTCACTGCAGTGATTGGTGAGGTCCCTCCCAGTTCTAACATAGTGTGGATCCCATTGGAAACTCACCCAAGTACAAAGTAGGCAGTAGAATGTAAGGATTCTAAATGAAAAATTAGCTGAAAAGTTCAGGGTTCAGGTAATGTTCTGGTATTCTCTCTGAACTTTGGCTCTCTGAGTAAACTAGTTATTGTGATTTCTACTTCTCTTGGATAACAGTCTCTGGATCAGATTGCCACTAAAAATCTGAATATTGCCTCATTATACATCCACACTAACTAGGGATTTATTTACCTGCGGAGATTTGAAACACCGTTTGAAGTTTCGCTACCTCATCCTCCTTGAGAATAATATTTATAACGGCCAGATCATTGTTGTCAACAAAGTCCTTGCTTGATGTTAAACACATGTGCCCTGTATACACGCACATGCATGCAAGCCCACACATACACTCCTCACAGACTTCCTCAACCCCTCAGGGCTCTTCAGCCTGATTACTGGTTAATCTTACAAAGAAAAACAGGAAGTCCACCCAAGGTCAGGATCGTTATTTTAATTTTGCTTTCCTTTTTAACAATTGAAATTAAGGGGATGTTATTTCCTTGTAGAAATCTGCATGATTGACTTTTCTATGGAAAGGCGATACCATTCCAAGTCACAATAACTGCTTGTGAGAGGTCACAGCCAGAGACATGGGATTCTGTACTTAGCCAAGCACTCCACGGACATTTGAACAAGGTCAGTCAAGTGCAAAAATAGAAACCTGAGTTAATTAATACCTTCCACACACTCTGGCATAGAACATTCATTTACTTTTATATGCATATTTTCTTTCTTCCTTTATTTAATTTCCAGAGTTAAACATTCTCCTGGTCACTATGGTGGAGGTGACAGCTGGGGCCACCTGAATTGAGACATGACTAGCAATGGAGTTAGACAGCATTTCTTGACTCTGCTCACTGTGCCTCTTCTCTTTTAGGTGTCTATTGGCACCTGCAACTTATGGGGGACCTGAAAAGACTTTCTAAAACAGAAACTTAATTACGTATGGTTTAGAAATACGAGAACTTGTCTAGCAAACTGAGGGAAGGGGGAGGAATGAGGGAGGAAGATCTGGATTGAAACACAAGGCCTGAGGGTGGTTCCAGGAAAAACAACTTTATTTGACACTATCCCAGTCTAGTCAATATGGCCAGGCCCTGGTCTGATGAAATTAAACAAACAGGCTCATGAACTTCTATAACTTGTTTGGCAAAAAGGTATATGTGACACAGAAAGGAGAGAGCAACTTGACTTCCTACTTCACAACAGTTGGAAGCTGTCAAGCATGGGGCGGGGGCTGGGCTGAATGCAGGAAAATGCTGAGTTGAGAGCTGCCGGGGGTCAGGAAATACTGTTCGCTGTGAAAGGAAATGGAGTTTGAGAGGGGTTGGTTTGGAGCAGGGGCCAGAAGTAGGGGTCAATTGCTAGTTAATGCCTCTGGATATCCTCTGGGAATTTTCAGAAACTTTGTTTGGGAGGGAGGACCTTGAAAATTGAGCACGTCCTGGGTATACATGGAAGGGAGGTTGACAAGCTAATGTGACGCTATTGCTACCTCAAATTCAATGAAACCTAGAAACACTGATGATACACAGGCAACCTAGAAAATAGAGAAAAGTAAACAGCACTTTTCTAAAAGCAAAACAAACAAGCAAAAATCCACTAAAATCACCTAATCTCACCTCCTAGTTAACCTTTGGATGATCTCTCTCGTGTACAGACTTGAGATCAGACTATGTGGGGGCCACTCTGTGTATGGTTGTTCCCTCTGAGGACTACATAAAGAGACATGGTCTTCAAATCGTATATGGCTAGCAAAAATATTTTCATGACATTCACTGTAGAAAACTTACAAAATATATAAAATAAAAAGGGAAAAAAATCCTACCATAATCTTACCATCATGCAATCACAATTATCAACAGTTTGGTCTTTCTTCTTCTAGATAGTTTATGCATAAATATTGATTTCTGAATAGTAGAAACCCAGAAAGAAAGCCCCAACCACACTTCCCATCCCCACATGTTCCTTACATTGTCATTTTTGGTAATTTCTTCTATAGACCTCACCTAATGCTGTTAACTGGGCACATGGGAGAGAAGAAGAATTCTGTAGTTATTTCAAAAATGGTTACCAATATGATGTGTCTTTTTCACCCCTCCCTTTCCACATCTTTTCCACCTGAAAGAATAGTTACTATGCTATACCTACTCAGGTTGGGGTTTTTCTCTCGCCAACCACCTCTGTGTGTGAGGACCAGTAGGATGTGCGTGTGTTTTCCTTTGCACACCTCAGGAAGCTTTTGCACCAGGTGCCTGCTCTTTTGTTCCAGAGCCCCTGGTTCTGTGACCTGGATTTCCATAATCACCCTTGATGCCATTGTCTAGACCAGGACCACCCAGTCCTTGGCAGAGCTTGAAGGTCAGAAAGGTGGACTCCTTGGCCAGCTGGCTCAGAGACTTTGAGGTGGTGGCATGACCATCTCTATTGCCCAGACATTAGTCTGACAATCATTTTCTGTAAAGCACAAATAGCATAAAGAATCATTTATGGAGATTGATGGGGAGGGGTCCCTTTCTCTTTTTTCTCCCTACCTATGATGCCACAGTGATAGGCAGTCCCTTTCATTAACTTTCTCAGAGAGACAGAAACTTTGAAGGCTGAGTCCATATTTATTGTTCATGCTTACTGATCTACAACCTTATTTGTGAAGGTCCAATACAATATTATTCAGGCCTCCTTGACCCTCATTTCCTATAATCCTTGCAAACTTTCACTAGCTGAAGCCTACACTGTGAACTGCTCTAGAAAACTGACACATGTTGAATATGCCTTTTCTAAACTCTACCCAGATACCCAAGGAGATTCAGATTTATGTCCCCTTGCAAAGGTTCCTCATGAAGGGATGGCCACGTCAAGAGACTGCTCACTACTAATCACAATAGCTACAGTTTATTGAGCACTTATTTAAGGCCTGGGTTCAAAATTGGGCTTTACTTTTTCTAGATTGCCTTGCAGTTTTGGACAAATCACTTCCCTGAGCCTCTATTTATCTATAAAATGAGGCAATTACATTTCCTTTGTATGATTGTTATGGAGGATGATGTAGGGTAATACTTTGCAAGGCTTCTATCTAGAGCATAATATTTGCTCAGTGTCTGTTAATTCGTCTCCCTTTCTGGCACTTTCAATGAATTTTTCTGCATGTCTATGCAAATATGTATACATATGTACTATGCAATCAAGAAAAATGTACAAGTAGGGAGATGTTAAGCTTTATTTGAAATTTCCATTTTTTATAGTAGAATTCAAAAAACCTTGGTCATATACAGAAAATTCTGTAATTTAGTTAACCAGCTAATTTAGTCTTAAAATCAGACCATCTTGTAATGTAAACAAACTGAGAGACCTACTTGTGTATAGACAGATAGGTTCACCCTGTTTATGCTGCAAAACTAACAAAGATTAGACATGCAGGCTCCCACCTGATAAACACAGCAGTGTTCCAGCCCCTTATACAGACTTGGAACTAGGACATCACTGTAGTTACACTGGTGGGGGTTTTTTCTTACAAATCTACAGGCTCTTCTAAATGTGCCTTCCAATAAAACTGACTTTACTGGCCATCCCACGTTAGCCATCATTTCCATAATGACCTAGAAATCAAACAACAGTCTACCTCATTTATTTCCAATCAGTTGAAATAACCAAATTTATATTCCACAGTATATATAAACTGCATTTCCTTAACAGATAAGCCCACTATGGTTTTTGTGCATTTGATATTTTTTGGACACCTTTAGCCTGGCGTTTTCTAGCCAGCTGGCAGATTTGATGTTGCCTTATCATAAGGTAGCAGGGCACAGTATGCACTACCTGGTGCAAATATGATAACCCTAAACACATCCTGCTGTGGAGGGGCGAGCATTACCTTGGTGCCCAAAGACTCGGGGTACAGCTCTGCTTCCAAGGCCCCATCTGAGTTTCAAAAGTCATTTCTCTGGGGGCCTCTAGTCTCCTCATCTATAAAATGGAGGAGGTTCAAACTTTCTTCCAGCTTACAGCCTTCAATAGTATACAATTAGTCAAAATATATATGAGAAGCTGAAAGGTTGAGTTGGTTTATTTTCAACAATTTTGCCTTCATAGATCCAAAAATTTTATACAGTTAAAAAACACACAAATTAAAGTGGCACTGTTTTTTTTTTTTTCCTCCTCCAGGTACACATGGATTCATACCTAGACCATCCATAGGCATAGAATGGTAGTTTTATATTCAATTATTTTATGATGAACAGTAAAATGTGATTTCACCTGACAGCTACTATGTTACCGAGTTTCCCCATTGCATGCCTTGTGGCCACTAGTAGGAGTAGGAGAAAGCCAGGCCTTTGTATTCTCACTATGGTCACCACACAGACACGACAGACCTAAAACCACAACTTACTTCACAGAACTGGTCTCTCTCCACACCACGTCTTGGAGGAAAAAAGAGAAACCTGATGCCATTTGACGGCTCAGTTCTGATTTTATTTCAATGTGTATTATTCGATCTCCTAACGTGTGAAAGTTAATCCTTTTTTGAAAGCTTTCCACCTAATAATTTAAGGTATTTAAAAGAAATGTGTAAGGAAGAATCTGGCACTGGTCAACAGCTTTGAAGCGAGAATAAGCAAACAATCTGTAAAGAGAGCATTTCTGTGTGTGCAGAGCCCAAGCTTGTTTCCTGTAAATATCAGTCTGAAAATCCACTGGAATTAGTAACAGCTAAAACAACTCACCATTATTTTTAGTGTTTAGAGCTTGGCTTTGGGTGGATCTATAACTCCACCCTGCTCCTTGTATACTAGTGGTATCACCACATTTATGAAGGTTGGTTATTATTCGACAAGAATGTAGTAAACGCTACTATGTGGGAGCTGTATGCTAGCCCCAGAGGTGTACTAATGAGAAAAAGCAGACACACAGAGCCCTGCTCTGAGGCAGCTACTCTGACCCCCAAGAATTAGAGTCAAGACCTAGAAAACACTTAGCAAGAGAGCACCTAGTGAATGGTAGCAATTGCTAACATAAAATGCATGTACTGCTGAAGACAAAAAACTACCTCAGGAGTTTTGTCTCCTGTATCTGTTAGTAACTGGAGGGGCAAGTCCTACAACTGCACCTTTTTCACACAATGCCTTGCAAAGTTCTCCGTAGCTATTAATGCATAGTAATACATCTTAGCAGCTAGGGCCCATGGACAGAGAAAGGGAACATTTTCTTCATTATAAACTTATCAAAGAGGAGCAAACATAAATGCAAAGGAGAAGCAGTTAACCCCAGAGTGCTGACCATCTCTGTGCACCCCCTGTGCATTGTACTGACCTGTTTCAGTTCATTGGTGAAGTATATGTAGGTCACAGCCACAGAGACGGACTGCAGAAGCACTGTGAAGATCAGGATCAGCACACAGTTCAGTCCGGGACTGGGGATCCCTGGGGCCTGCAACGCAGCCATAGCCTGTCTCGGTGAAACTGCTGTCAAGTCTGCCAGGCAGCTGTTAAACAGCAACTCTCAAAGAGAGGGGTGGAGCTCTTGAGTTTCATTTCAGAAATGAAAGTGAACGCCACTCTGGATTTCCCCAAATTCATTTGTTGTTCTGAAAGAAGTCTGAAAGAGAGAAACAATAAAATAAGTGAACCTTAAGTCAGGTAGCTGTTTCCCCGTTACTCAGGGCCTGTCAGTTTCTGCAGGTGTGCATTTGCTCAACAACTATGCCAAATCCTAAGTTCCCACATTGTATCTCAGAATACAAGGAACACTTACGCAGCTCTTCAGGTTGGAACTCCTGCGTTACAATTGTCTTCACGAATGAGATATTCTGGAAAATATTCCTGTCGAGTAGACTGCGTGTGATAATGTGCTGGGTGAGGGAAGTCAGGGGGTAATCCTGGAAACAGTGGGAGTTATCCCAGTGAGGTGCACCAGTATCGGAGGGACGCCCCCAGCGCTCCTGCGGGCCTTGCAGAGGACCTGCCTGGGGGAAAAGGAAGAAGGAGCTAAAGCAAAAGTATGGGAGTTAGTGGGTGAGCTTAAGTTAGAAAGAAAAATAAAGAGGTAAGATTCTAAGGCTAGTCCTAGTCCCTTCCTGAAATTTTGCCTTTGTTTTAGATTTTGTTTTTGTTTCTTCTTTGAAAAGGAGTGGCCTCCGTTGCATTTTAGACTAATTAGAATTGTTTTGCTAAAGGTCTAGTAAACAGGGTAAGATTTATAAAATGTATTCATGAATTTGTCCATCTAAAGAATGCTGATTCTTTATGTTTAAATTGGGAAAAATATATGATTTTGATAATAAAAGTGTAAATTATGGCAATATATTTTAAGAGAATAGAATTAAAAGTAGATTGTCTTAAGTTACAAAAGATGAAGAGTTAGAAAAGACTAAGAAAGTTGCAGAAGGCTTGTGTAGAAGGAAGAATCAAAAAGAAAAGCAAATGAGAAACTCATGTCTTTTCTTTACTGAAATTAGTAACTCAAATAACATGTGTAGTCTTTATATGTTCAGTCATCATGTGTATGGTCTTTATGTGATAAGTGTTCATCTGTGTATTACATGTTGTGTTGCAGTTTCTCTAGGCTGGACAGGTCCACTCAGGGCTCAGGTTGACGGAAGAAGATGCTTCGAGCCTTGGGGATGCTTGACATGCCTTTATTTGGGAGTGTCACACAGGCACAAGCCCGGGTCCGGGGAAATCACACAGGCCACAAAGCCTGTGTCCAATTCGGCGCCCCGACTCCCCACCCTATCCAAAGCTTCTATCCCTGCTGGCAAGATCCCAGTACTGACTCCTCCCCTATATGGCAGCAGCATGAGAGGACCCAATAACCCCGCCCCCAGAAGGGACTCCGCCCCACCCTGAGCTGTCTAAGGCGGCCTGCTGAGTGCAGAGTGACTAGATTACCAGCTGAAGGAGACAGCCACAGACAATAGATTCCTGGAAGTTTCGAACAGACGCCTAAGGTCAGACAGGCTCAACATCTGACATAAGAGGCAGATCCAGAAAGTAAAACCAGTGATCTCCAATCATGGAAGTTCACACCAGAAAGTCAGGAAATCAAGACAGATCAACTTAAGAATCAGAAGCAAAACAGAAGAGTCTCACAAATAATGGGAATACAAAGAAACACCCCTCAGTCGAAGGGAAAGGAGGAATCCCCAGAAAGACAAGTAAGTGAAATAGAGGCAAGTAAATGATCAGATATTGAGTTCAAAATAACGGTTCTAAGGAAGCTCAAATGAGCTCAGTGAGCTCAGAGAGAATTACAAAAAACTACAGGGAAACTATGAGGAACTTACTGCAATCTATAGCAGCATGAAAAAGGACATAGAAACTATCAATAACAGACAGGAGGAAATAAAGAATACACTTTCTGAATTGAAAAACACAGTAGAAGGAATCAAAAGCAGGCTAGATGAAGCTGAGGACCGAATCAGCAAGCTGGAGGACAAGGTAGAAAAAAGCTCCCAGAAAGAGCAAGAAAATGAAAAAAGACTCCAAAAGAATGAAGAGGCATTTAGGGAAATACAGGACAACCTGAAACGTAATAATATCCATGTAATAGGGATACCAGAAGGAGAAGAGGATGAGGAAGGGATAGAGAACCTGTTTGAAAATGTAGTGATGAAAAAATTCCCTAATTGGAGGAGAGAAAAAGTCCCACAAGTCAAGGAAGGACAGAGGGTCCCATTCAAGAGGAACCCAATGAGGCCCACTCCAAGACACAACATCATTAAAACGGCAAATATCAAAGACAAACAGAGAATCCTCAAGCAAGCAAGGGAGAAAGAGGTAGTAACATATAAGGGAGCCCCGATACAACTAGCATCTGACTTCTCAACAGGAACACTGCAAGCCAGAAGGGAATGGTAAGAAATATTCCAAGTCATGAAAAGCAAAGGCCTGCAACCAACACTGCTCTACCCAGCAAGTCTCTCAATTAAAATGAAAGGTGAAATGAGGAGTTTCCCAGACAGAAGAAGGCTAAAAGAATACGCCTTTATGAAACCAACACTGCAAAATATGCTAAAGGGACTGCTTTAAGCTGATGAAAAAGTTTCTGTGAATACCCAATTCCTTTCAGAGTTGCCAATACTTGATATTACCAATATTTTTAATACTTACTCTGATTGTGACAATGATGTTATTTTAATTGTTCCTTTACTATATTTTGAAACTAAACCTGTTTTTGTATATTTCTCACCTATTTCTGTTATTTTTAAAAAGCTTTCAATGACTTTTTGGTATTCTTTATACATTTTTTGATTAAATGTTTGTATAATTTTTTCCCTAAAAAAACAAAACTATTAACCCTTTTTTAGATGTGTTGCAAATATTTTCCTATTCTATTACTTGTCCTTTAACTTTTTTATATGTAGAATACTATATAGTCTTAAATGTTTAATATAGTCATATTGTCAGTATTTTACTTTATAGTTTCTGGGTTTGAATATATTACTTCAGGGTAAGAAAATATTATTTTGTATTGTCTCCTGAAACTCCTTAGATTTTACATATTGATTTTTAACTCACCTGAATATTTTTTGTATAATGTGTGAAACAGGACTCTCTATTTGTTTTCTTTCACGTAATAATGGTCTGTGCACCTTATTTGTTGAATAAGCCTTATTTTCCCCATTGATTTGAAATATCAATTTAATCATATATTACATTGTTAGGCAGATATATACATTTGTTTCTAGAATGCTCATTTTATTTCATTGATCTACTTGATTATTTCTGTGCTGGTGTCATGTTTTAATTGCTGAGATTTTATAATGGATTTACATTTTTAATATTTTATAACAGATTTTGAAAATTAAAAAATAAATAAATAAATAAAATCAATCTGCACTTAAAAAAAAGAAAGAAGGAACATACTTTTTGTCACAACATGGATGGAACTGGAGGATATTATACTAAGTGAATTAAGCCAATCAGTGAAAGAAAAATACCACATGATATCACCTATAAGTGGAATCTATTCAACAAAATAATTTAATGAACAAAATAAACCACAGGCATGGAAACATGGAGCAGATTGAAAGTGACCAGAGGGGATGGGGAAAGAGGACAATGGTGGAAAGAAGGGGAAGGGACTAGACAAAGAACATGTATGAATGACCCATGGACATGGACAACAGAGTGGGAATTGACTGTGGGGGGGTGGGATGGGTGGAGGAGGGCAAAGGGGGGAAAATTTAGACAAGTGTAATAGAAAAAACATGATTTTAAAAAAAGATTAACAGAGCTTGAAGGAGAAACAAAGCATGCTTCAAGGAGTGTAATTTACTTCTAGGGCTGATTTTCCCTGGGGGCCCTTGGAGTTATTATCAGGTCCTGCCTATTGACCTCATTACCAGTGTTCTGGCCAAGTCTTATGGGTCCTCTCCCAGGCCCCAGCTTGCACGGGACTAGAGTCCCTGATACCACTTGAAGCGGCCCCCTACAATACTCAACTCTGTAACCATGTCATTTAAAGTCTTGTCATTTATAAACAGTCATTGTTTTTCTCTAATGCATTTGCAAAAATATATTATGTCTTGGCAGGGGCTCAGGGAGAGGACTTTGACTTGTTTTGGACTGTGTATTTCTGAGAAAGGATATTGGGATCATATCTTGTATCTTGTATATGTGTTGCTGAACCAAGCACACAGATCATACCTTTAAATTGAGTGAAGATTGCTGGAGCTCTGTGAAATGACTGGATTTATGGAAGTGCTTGCAAATATTCAGGATAAAGAGAAATTAATTATGGGGCATAATACACTGAAGGTAATTGTAGCTTTTATAACCTTTTGCTAATTTTTAATCATTTGTATTTCAGAGTTACAAAAACTTTGTTTCTTAAAGAAAATAGGTAAAATAAACTTTTATAAGCAATTATTGAAGCATTTATATCTTTCTCCCTGCCTGATCCCTCTGGAATTTGAAAGCTCTTAATGAGTAAGTATTATTCTTTCCTTATCCTCTGATTTTGATTTATTGAGAACTACTAATGCAGTATCTGTTGGGAACCGTCCCTCCTGGTTTCAGGGACTGTAGCCTCACCAACAGGTGAGAGGGACCCAAGGCTGGAGCTGAGCAAAGAGGACTTGGGAAAATAGGACACTGAGGAGACAGAACCTGTCCCTGCTGGCAGGGGTACATCCCCTGCTTCCTTCACATCACCCTGGTTGGCCCCAGGGTGGTTAGTCAATGATGGGTAAGACCCCTCAATGGCAGGGGCAACCTAAGGCAGGCACAGTCACATGGGAGCCATCAGGGAAGGACCTGGGGGACATGGAGAAGGGGCAAAGACCCTCACCCCTCAGCTTTGTCATGGCCAGAGTCCTCATTCTATCTGAAAGAAGCCTCCTTATCTCTTGTCTGCTCTGCTCCACCTGCCTGACCCTGTCAGTGAAACAATACTAAAGGCAGGTACAGCCCTAAACTGGAACAGGCAGTTCCCCAGGGGAAATTAGACCTGGAAAAGGAATGTATT